TCTGTAGCTCTGCAGATGGTCAACACAGAGCGCCTGTCAGCAAGCAGACGCGGGTCTGACCCCAGTCAAAGGCCCTTAACCCATCTCTGCACATTACCTCCAATCAGGCCTGACCGATCAATACTGGCCATCCCCGAGGAGAGAGGCCATGCTGACATTTGTGCCCGCCGTCTAAGCGCTTTCATTCTTTTGTGACCGGAGACGACTATTACTTGCAGCTCCGCAGCTGAGCTTGTCACAACAACTTTAGACATATCGGCTTTCACCATAACATCCCCGTGTATGCAAACATTGCCGCGAGACGTTTTTTTTGGAGAGCGGTGACGATTTGATGCCCTTCACTGGGGCTCCAAAGAACCAGGTGGCCTCTTTTGGTCCGTTGAGAGGAAGGAAGGAAGGAGGGCGAGGTCAGTGGCAACAGAGGGTGGATGGGTCACCTACATGGAAATAGGAGCACCCCTGTGGCGAGCAGATAAAAGGACGTGCACCCATCCAGAACCGTCCCCGACATGGCCAGGAGCAGCAGGCTGACTCCGGCTCAACAGCCACCAGCGGGGGTGCAACGGCCTTTTGATAACGGCTTTCAAACAGCGCCGACTTCCGCAAGCATCCGCAAGTCTGATAGCGGAACGTGATTTCTTTTTTTTTTTTTCCGGGAGCCTCCTTTTCAACAATGCCTCACTTGTTCTTTTTTAAGTAGCTTTTACTGACGCTGCTTTGTAGGTCTGTTTACCTCCACAGTGTTTTATCACTGACTAGATACAAAGGTTGACCGGAGGGACATCCTGCTCGGGGATGGCGCCAGTTTCAACCCCACCAGTCTCCTGACAGCGACTGAAGCCTAACCTTTGATCACAAACCGCATTACACGAGGACTGAATATCGCACAGCTCAGTGTGTGCTCAAAGATACACGCTGCATTCTTATGACCGAGCAGCTCACAAACATTTCATCTTAAAAGATTGACCTCTATACGGAGATCAACAAATGGCAATTTCTGATACATTCTAGAAACACAACATCACAGTCCTCGTACCACCCGTGTGGCCGTTGAACTGTGTGACTACGCTCTCTCTGTTCAATTCTAAAGCCACTCTATGGGAGGAGCAACAGTGTCAACAGTGCCGGGGCCCTGACAGCGAGCTAAGACCAGAGCCCGCGACACGACAGCAAAACCACAGCACAGTAATTATATATCAAAGCCCCTTCATAGCCAATAGGGCTAAATGCAATATGAAGAGAGCGACATGCACCGCAGACTGACGGGGCGAAATGATGCTGCAGTCAACAAGAGTTAGGAGTAAATAAAATACCAGGGTCAACTTTTAGCCGTCTGTGTCGAAGTTTGTTAAAAGTGACAGGACCCTTCGAACAAACTGCAAATATCGACGTTAATATGTAATAAGTCTGACAATCTTACATGCAACCGCTAAACTAAAGGCGATTGTGCTTTTGCTTGCAACTTTGGCGCTAACTCCCACAAAGTCAACATGCATTTCTTCATGATCATCTTCAGTTTTTTCATGACTTTATAACTTAATTGTTTTGGTTGTTTGTTCACTTTGTCTCCTTGTTTCGATAATGTGTCTTCTATGTCTTTATATACTTTTATTGGCAAAAATGATATAGCAAATTATTTTCTTTATTTACTTGTTTCATTGTTTATTTTCGCATAAGTAATAAAACTAAATGCACAAGAGTTAGCTAAACGCATATCTGCCTCTGTTGTCCCTGTCCACATGACAATAAAAACACTACATAAAACAACACGATACATAATAGTACATCAGTGTGACATAATAAATAGAATCAGCAGGATAAATACAATAAATTGTCTACTTTTGTGCTGTCTTTAGCTTAAACTTAAGGCTGGTTTTAAACACTGCAAATGATTATTAATCTGTCCAGGAATCAACTTTAATGTATGTGCTGAAGATAAGTACATATTTTCACTTATCAGTTACCACCGGGCGACTCGACTTTCACCAAACCCACCAAACAGGTGCAAGTAGAAAAGGAGAAATGGCGAAGCGGCGTTCCTGTTCACACTCAGTCACACTGGCCTGTTGAGCTCTGACTCTCTTTCTCTGTGTGTGTGTGTGTGTGTGTGTGTGTGTGTGTGT